CTGAGACCCAGGGAGAGTCCCAAGGGCCAAGTAGAAAGGGCCTGGAGGGCCACATTTGGTCTGAGGTTCCCCACCCCCATAACCTGCAAGTGTCCCAGAAAAAACGGGATATCCCATTTTTTCCCACAAGAGCGTGGGGGCCATTGGGGTGCCATGATCTTCCATGGTACCCCAAAATGCACATTTTGGGGAGGTGTGAGAACATAGCCCCCTCCAGTGCATCTTTTGGGTTCTGTGATCTTGTGCAGGATGCGGGACTCATGTGGGAGCATGGACAGGAAGACGGGCATCCCGGTTTGGGTCTCAACATGTTGGAGGGCATGCACCACTGCTGTGGAGGGAGCCCTGTTACATGTGTACATCTGTCTCCCCACCCCTGCTTCAGACACAGGTCAAGAACAACTCGGCCAGGGAACATAGCTAGCACAGATAGCATGCACACCTGGGACTAGAGGGCAGACCTAACCCCCAGGTTCTTGGTAGCTCATTACTAATCTAAAGGGAGCAAAGGTACTTGCATAAAGCTGCCTCCATGGCCATGGCCATGGCTGTCCTGATTGACTAAGGTTCCCATCACCATAAAAGGAATCTTATCTATGGACAATCTGTGGATTGCCATTTGCTCTTATTCAGTTTCAGAGAGTGGGTTTTCACAGGCAATGTTCCAGAGCAAATAAAAGGCACTTGGACATGGAGCTTTAAAATACAGGCAGAGGAAAGGTAAGTGTGGATAACTCCTCAGCTGACATCTTAAAATCTTTTTATCCAGAGAGAAGTTTTATAGTCCAGCCATTGGCTGCCTGCTGTATATTCGCTCAATTTTTCTAGCTGTCTTTATTTTAACTTTTGTTTTATGTTGGTTTTATCTGTTTGATTATGACAAAAGTGTCCTAGCACTTTTGTACTACATCAGGACATGGGCTGCAATCCACTAGACTTTCTCCTCTACTTCCACAGCTTTTATTAAATTCAGTGGCACTTGTGCAAAAGAATGTCATGGTTGATTGTGGTCCTGGCTCAATATTCCATAAAAGCAGCAGTTTAATTATGAATAGTGTGTACCCAATTATAGAAGAGCCATTCAGAGTAACTTTATTAATTGTTTTATCAGATTATTAGGATTGCTTAGAATAACTCAGTGAATTCCATTTTTAGTAAAACTGCTGAGCCAACTATAAAGATTCCTTAGTAAGTAAAGGATTTTTTTCATTCTAGTTTTAATTTGTAAAGGAAAAATGATTCATAAACCATATACGTGAGAGAATACTTCAAGAATAGCTAAAGAAATAGATTTCTCTGACACACATTCTACAAAAAGCCACCATGCCATCTTCTATGCAATTCTCTTTTATATTTCATCCTGTTTTCTCAGCATTTCATCACAGTAGGCGATGAAAGAATTTGTGAAGCAAATGCGTGGGCAACACTGACTAGCCCCACTGTGGTTACCAAGAAGCGTGGTGCTCAGTCCTCTTCTCTCCATGTTTTCAGTGTGTGCACACATATGATGGGAGTCAATGAAGTTTTATTCAGAGTACACCTATTGAAATGAATTTAGTCATAATCATTAGATCTCTGCCACACAAGGGGAATCCTGATTGTGCCAGGAGCTCTAGGTGTATAAGAGGAATGGAGAGGAAATCTCTTCCTGGCGTAGATGGACAGATGTTTGTCTACATGGTCCCACAACCCTCCCCCCTCATGTGTTGTAGTTTGTTCAAACCCATGAAGGAAGGTCATCAGAACCCCAATAGCATCAGGAACTGCTGACCATGTGGTGAGCCATGTAACTGCAGCCTCTCAGACCTGGCATGGTTTCACCCATGGCTTGTCCATAATGTTTGCCATTTCCATCTATACAAAAAGTAATGTGATGTATTTGGAGACCCTGTTGCAATAAAGGATGCAATATAGTAAGCTGCATCTTCCCTGCTTCCCGAGGTCTTGCAAAATATGTGAAATCATCTCATCACATAAACCTCACTTGTCATGTCTACTAGCAGTAAGGCATTCTGCTAGTATATATATTAAAAAGACGCATTGTAGGCTATCTATAATAAACCTCATCAGCAATTCTAATTTTTCAACCAAGATGTATTGATTTTTTTTTACTTACTATATGGAATGGCATTATATAGCAAATTGGTAACATCTACTATTAAAAGAAGCAATGTGTCAGGACTGAAGCCAATATGCACATGAAAAAGTTGACGTGCTGTCAAGAATGACAGTGTCCAAGACTTGGGCCTTGCTTTTTAATTTTATTTTTAAAAAGGATTTTGCAACTATTTTACATGTGATGGCATCCTTCAAGATGGATGCTGAAGTACAGGGATTACCTCAAGAGATTTGACATTGAAGAAGCTACTTGGGTATCTTTCTCTCTTCCAAAATCATATTGCTTTACAGTTAATGATCAACGAAGGCTTAAGGCCACTCCTTACTGTTGGATGTCACTAAGCCCCCTGAAACCAGGGGGGAAAGAATCAAGATTAATGTGCCTATATCTAGGATCACGACAACAGTGCCACTGTACAGTTTGGTCAGCTCTCACAACAGTGTGCCTGTCCATTAATTTATTTAAAATCAGCCTACAACAATATGAGATATGTGGTTTAATGAGGCAAAAATAATGAGGATTACTCATGGAATCACATAAACAGGCTCTCAGCATCTGAACATGTAACTGCAATGCAGAACCCTCTCCTGGGGTCTGACAAGTACATTTTGTAAAGTGCTAAGCCTCATCATTTCTGGTTCAGTTCTGCATGAGAAGAGAAGAGACTTTGAGGCTGGCAAGGAGACTGCATCTCTCAGTATTTTAATGGTGGTATCCAGATCTGAGAACAATTATTTTAAAATGATCCACCTCAACATTATGATTTTCTTCTTCTTCACCATTTCTCAGTTATGAGAACGGGGTGCTCAAAATGTTTATTAGTTATTGAGGCAGCTGTAAAAGTCATCCTCTTTATGAATTCAAACATCCCATCAGATTATTTTCCAGATAGCATTAATTAATGGATGGCATGTGAGATAGTTAGTGGACTTTGACCCTAAACATTGACCTTCAGGCTGGCCATGAATCCCCTGATGACATCAAACATCCTCTTTACTGTACTAGCCTTTTATATAATTGGATATCTTTTTTAAAAAAATTAAAAAATAAAATAGTGCTCCTGAAATTACTAAAGTGCCTGAAAGAAACTTGTATATGCTGGGGGGGTGGGAATCAAGCCAAGCTGAATACTTCAAACCATTCAAATCTCACTGCTTCAGTTTGTAGTATGTCAACACTGCAGCTTTTAGTTTATGATTCAACAAGCTATCAGCATCTTTGGTCCCAAGCCAGCTTACAAAGGACAAAATGTATTGTGGCACCTTAAAGTTAACATGTATTAAGGCATAAGCTTCTGTAGACTCAAGCCCATTTTGATGTCAGATACACTGAAGTGAAATCTTACCTGGTGGCAAATAAAGGAGAAAATAGTAAGGTGGGAGTTGAACAGCAATGAGCAGCCAAAATTACCACCAGTCATAATTAGAGATTGAACATATGTAAAACAGGCAGACCTTTAATGGCAGCAGATAGTGGCTGGCTCAAGATGCAGACAGGGCTTGAGGGTAAATGGATAAATGGTAAATTGCCTAAAGGGTAAATGGATCGAGGGGAGGTCTCCTCATATGTCCTGGGCTAACCAAAGCTGTCAGTGAAGCAATATTGAAAAATGTGTGCATACACGTGACCCCTGCAGTCCATTCTTTGTTTTTTATTTGCCCTTCCTGATCCTCTCATTGCTCATATAGGTTCTTTGTGCAGCTGCATTATTACACTCACGAAGACCAGCCCAGGAATGATAACGGGACATTCCGGCAAATATGTCACTTCAAATGGCAGGCGGCAGGGCTCGCTTGCCAAGAGTAGCGTGCTTGGATGGGTCAGTGCTCTTTTTTGGGGGGGGGGCTAGGCAGACACTATGAGGGACACTGTGTGACTTATGTACCTCTTTAATGAAGTGCTGACATCCCTAGAAGAAAATCTGTGTCTTATCCAGCCTGGAGAGCAGGCTGTACTAACCAGCATATGTTAGAATGAATCCTGGCAAATAACAACTGGTGCAAATTTGCCTTTAAACGGCTGTTCCTAGATGAATGATTTGATTCCTGTTGCCAGTAACCCGGTGCACAGCAGGACATTTTCCAACTGTGAGCTAACAACCAGTTAGCCCCCACTTCACCTCCTGAGAATTAAGCAGTCTGTGACATACTCTGGACTGGAGAAGCAAATGGCACAATGAGCACAACTCGTTCAGATGAATCAGACAATATAAGAGTGAATCCAGGAGATAAGGAGTGTATGGCAAACAGAAAAATTGGAGGAAGGGGGCTTCCAGATGGGGGCCTTAATATTGATAAAGAGTCATTCAGATATGGCAAATTAGTAATTGGAAACTGTTTTCTTTTTTTAAAAAAAAACTTACCAGGTGATCTGTGGAAAGGGTAAATCTGGATTAAATTGAGGGACAGTAAAATAAACTGGCATTTTAATAGCAATGGCATAGTGCATAGACACTGCAAAAAAGCTGCATGTGTGAGCAATACTGATCCCACAATAAGCATCTGTCTGAAAGCACCCTAAGGCAGTACCTACTAAACACATGCGCCACAAGTCAATGCATAGCCATGCACTCTTGTATCCTATAGATATCAATGTGCATCTAACAGCACAGCCTTATGTCTTATTTATTCAGAAGTAAGTTCCACTGCATGCAGTGATGCCTATTCTCTTGTGTGTGTAGGACTGTAGCTGAACTCTGGCTGGTTGTGGCCATTTGCTTTTCTTTTTCTGCACTTAAAGCAGAAAGGTGGAAGGGCCATAGCCCAGTGGCAGAACATCTGCCTTGCTTGTAGAAAGTCCCAGGCTGGATGTGCCCACTACCTGAAACACTGGAAAGCCTCCACTAGTCAGGGTGGACAATACTAACCTAGACTGACTGTTGGCCTGACTCAGTAAATGCAGTGGGTAGAGCATGAGACTCTTAATCTCAGGGCCATGGGTTTGAGCCCCATGTTGGGCAAAAGATTCCTGCCATTGCAGGGGGTTAGACTAGAAGAACCTTGTGGTCCCCTTCAATTCTTCAATTCTGTGATTCTACATTATTTCTATTTCTGAAGAAATCTTGACATATAAATTTGTTGCATTTGCTTACATACAAATAATTCACAAATAAACAACAAATACTAATTGCCAGGTCACTTCTGTTTGTTGTCTGAGTGCAACTCTTAAATGTCTAACTTCTGAATTAGATTTCTAGGCGACTATTTCAACTGAATTGGTTACACATTTCATATGTATATAGACAATGCATATAGAAAGGGGAGTGGGATTGCACTCAGGGATTTCATCTCTCCACATGCATTTGGTTTAACATGTGAGGGAGCTCTGAGTGTCCCATTTCTACAGAGGTAGATTGTGCCAAACACAAATGGATCAGAAGTTGGTCTTGCAGGAGTAAAGGGGTAGGTCTCTGTGTAGTTTAGATGGTGCACACATCTATCTCATTGTATATACACATGTGCATGTCTTTTAAAACAAGACATTTGTAAAAGTTGATACTTATTTCCTAGCCAGATTCTAAGGCTTACAGTAGATAAAGCAGTAGATAAAGTCTGTTGGCATGTATTCATCCAAAAGGCATTCCACAAGCTGCTTAAACGTGGAAAGAAAACATTCTGAAGTTGTTCAACAGAGTTGTGCACAAGTAGATGCTAGAAGCAGTAAATACCTGTCTTAACTTTCCCTGCCAAAAACCTCAAGGGCTGGAAATGTTGACAAGAATCTGACAGATATGATTCTGACACATCATTACAGAATCACTGATCCAGTGTGTTTGCATACCTCCATTCCACAGGCATGCCCACCACTAACAACTTGATAGTAGAACTCTGAACTTTGATACGCTCTTTGGATTCCAGCACAGAATTATACTGATTGTATGAAGATGGGATGGTGCACGGGTGTCCAGCTTTTTCGCCAGGCAAGATAATTGGGATCAGTATCAGTAACTTGGTTGGGCAAAGTTTGGAGTCCCCAGATGGAAAAGTCTTTCTTCCCCTGCCTGCAGATAATTCACCTATTAGAAAACTAGATTACCCTGGAAGCCCCTGCATCATTGCAGAAGTCTCTGGATTATGTGTTATTTCCTTATGGTACAAGATCTTGCCAGATAAGAGACAGTCAACACTGCTGCTAGGCCACATAGCAACACTGTCCTGGACCCAGGGGCTTGTCTAATTGGTCCAGAAGCAACACATGGAGCTTCTCAATCTGCTTCTGGGCAACCTTACCAAGGGGAAATGGGGATTCAGGGGCCTCTGTGATGATGCTGAGGCCTGCAGGGCAACCTGTCATTTCTCAAAATCAGTTGTGTGCCCAATGGCAGGGGAAGAAACAGAGCATGACTCTGTTGGTCAGGGAGAAGGGGAAGTTGTGGCCAGATCAAAGCAATATGCAAACTCCACTGCCTATCTGTCAGGCACTACTCCATGCAGGAAATTATTAATCATCTCTTGTTTCCTGCCTGGAAGGATGCCTGCCAGGTGAGAAGCGACATCTTCCAAGCCAGTAGTGGTGTAAGAATGGGGGGAAATGAGATCACGGCAAAAATTAGTTGGGAGCCAGATGGCTATCCGTAGACAAGAGAACTCAAAATTTCATCTGCAGCAGGTGCTGCAACAAAATCTACAGATGCACAGCACTTCTTCTATCTGGCAGCAGCCAGTGCCAATATATATATATAAAATAACATTGCTGCTTCTGGGAAGTAGAGGGACAAGATCGGGCAAATAATCACCATGATCACCCTACCTGCTGAAGAGCCAGGTGGAAATAAGTCATTCTGACAATAGGGAAGATAAATTTGCACCTGGAAAGATAGTCTAACTTTCTAGTCCATAGTTCCCCTTAGCAGAACCAAGTACAGTCATACCTCGGGTTGAATGTGCTTCAGGATGAGCGCGTTCGAGTTGCGCTCCGCGGCAACCTGGAAGTAATGGAGCGCGTTACTTCCGGGTTTTGCCACTTGTGCATGCGCAGACGCTCAAAATGACGTCACGCGCATGCACAGAAGCAGCAAAAAGCGATGTGCGCGTGCGCAGACGTGCCATCGCTGGTTACGTTTGCTTCTAGATGCGAACGGGGCTCTGGAACGGATCCCGTTCACATCTAGAGGTACCACTGTAAGTCAAATACTATCACACAAAACAGACAGAAAAACCCGCACTTTTCTTTCTGACATTTGAAAACAGGAATGCCAACAGGATTTCCTGGAGGCAGTATGTCTTATGTGGAAAGGGGACCCTGCAACCCCCACATCCAGTCTATTGAGAAGAACTGATTATTATGTACATATATTATCTTACCCTTGCCTACTCGCAGGGCTATTGAAAATATAAAAGGAGAAGAGGAGGGAAAACATACACAGCCTTGATCTCCTGTGTGGGAAAGCCAGATACAGTACAAATGTATCCCATGCAGTTGAACTATGGAATACACTGCCTCAGGAAGCAGTGACGGCCCCCAACTTCGATGCTTTAGAAAAGGATTAGACAAATTCATGATGGCTGCCAGTGGCTACCCAGCACAATGGCTGTGCTCTGCTTCCACAGCTGGAGGCGATATGCTTCCGAATACTAGCTACTTGAAAGCGTAGGCATCTGGTTTGGCAATGGGAGAACAGGTTGCTGGACTTGATGGGCCATTGGTCTGATCCAGCAGAGCTCTTATGTTCTTATGTACTGTCATTCACAGAACATGTAAAGAAAGCCAGGACAGCAGCCTCCTTGCTTTAACTGCAATGTTTCATAGCCCTGATATTTATAGCACAATACAAAAAACAAATAAAACATTTGCCAGGTCTGATAATTGCGTGTTCAGACCCAGAGACACCCCCCCCCCCCAAATAAAGACACATTTGACTCAAATTTTAGTTTTGGTTTTTGGCAGAATTTAGGCCACAACTTTATTGATTACAGAAAGTGAGTGGTTGCATAGGCTCTGGTTCGACTAGCTCCCTGCATCTTTGCAGGTAGCGCTGACCCAGAGCTCTATCATAGATCAGCCAAGGGTGAACACCTGAGGTAGGTAGAAAGCCCAGGTACAGCCTATGTCCACTCCCCAGATGCTCCCCTGGATTCAGGCACAGGCACAACCCCCTCTCAGGGGTTGACCAAACCAAGCTGAGTCCCTGGATTCCTTTAATGGAATACCCTTCACATAGGGATGGCAAGACCGTTCCCCCATTCCTATCACCTAAACCAGTGCCTATCCACAACCCTACAAGTTGTGACAATTTGCTACGTGGCAGGCAAAACCCAAATGGCAAAAGCCAATCAGCCAAGTGGGGGAAATTCCTGCCGTGCCCCTGCCCCAATGACAGACAACACATGACGGCATAGCAAGGCCAATCACAAAATACCCTAAATATAGGGAGAGGTGGGCTGCACAAGCCAAAAGAGGAAGCTCTGGGTCACGTGCATAGGTATTTATAGGTCCCTTGATCCGTTTGGACTGTGCCCCATTGGCCAGATTAAACCCAACATCGAGGGATCTACCAGTCGGGTGTTGTGGCTATAAAATCTTACCCACCCACAGCACAGGAGGTCGGTCTCCAGGTCTCACCACAACATGTGCCCTCTTTTAGGGAGGACATGATATACCAAGCAAGAAATAGTCTATGTATGTGCTGTTTCACCACTTTGGTGTCTGTACTACATCAGCCTAGTTTGCTTCACAGGGATGTTGTGAAGATAAAAGGGGGAAAGGGGAGATAATGTACAGTCTTGAGCTCCTGGGAGGACAATCAAGATACAAATGTACAACATTCAAGAAATATGTGCCGTTCTCAGCAAAATAGAACAGAGATGGATGTGGTGGATTAGCCTGTGGCACAAATGGTAATTTCTGCATTAAAAGATTTACAAGGAATTTCCAAATGAATAGATTAAAAGCAATTCCTAAAACCAGAATCCATTAAAAACTTCTTAATTTTTTAAAAATGAACTTTTGCCTAGACATCCAACATTTAAAATCACTCAGGGTATAAATATACCTTTAGTACTTCTAATTTGTATTTGTATTTTTTTATATAAAATTACAGAAACAAGTAAGGTCTACTAGCTTGCTGGATAGTTTAGCAAATCAATAATCAATGTTTTTAAAAGTCACTTAATTCAAATTGCTATAATGTACATTATAGAATGGTTAGGGAATGCATATTTACATCATAAAGCTTATTGGATTTCCAGTGCTATTATCATTTCCCATGACCAAGAGTCTACAAAAAGGTTATTTTCTTTACAGCAACGTGTCCAAAATCTAAAAGGAAATTATGCCAAAAAGTTTATTGCAATAGCGATACTCAAAACAGTTTTAAAAGTAATAATAGGAAAAGTAATCACTGACGACAATACTTTTCAAAAGTTTTTACATGTGATTCTTTAGAGGTCAAGGAAGCTGGGTAGATTTCTCCTGGCCAGCTTCCCCCCATTCCCTACATGCCAAGTTATAGCTGAGAAAAAAATAAACACGGGTCCCTCTTTCTTCAAAAGTCTTTTGTAGTCTATAGTTAAGACATACCATACAACTTTAATGGACATCATAAGAACCTTAAATACAAATATCCAATGAAATAAGCACTGAAGAAATAAGGTTTGCTTTAAAAAAGGAAGTTGTTGACTTGATATTTATGGTCCATCTGGCATCTTCATTATACAGCTTTCAGCAAATGCTCAAAATACGCCTCTTTGCCCTGGCTTTTGACATCTGAGGTGTATATTTGTAAGACCCACCTTATTTCTGTAATTAGAAATAATGGTTTTAATATGTTTTAGTTATTGTTTAATTGTTGTAATGCACCCCCTGGGACCTTGGGGGTGGTGGTCCCCATTCCATGAGCCATGCTGGCTAGGGCTGATGCATGTCAGAGTCCAGCGATATCTGGAGGGCCACCAGCTACCCATCCCTGCTCCACACATTCAAGGAATGACTTAAGAGACTGAAAGATTCTGGGTACTCCTA